CTGTCCTTTCAATGCTATTAAGTGCATTCTTGGTTGCTGACTCTTCTGACCCTCAGGATATACACTGTCCTTATACTTCCCCTCCCTCCATTCCATCCAGGCCACCCATAAGGTCTGTATTGGGCTTCATCCTTCTCAATTCAAACCCATGTCTTCATTCCCCACCGTTCCCCTGATTGTCTTATTCCCTTAGGACCACTCTTGGCCTGGTAAGGCAACATTGAATTTTCTCATAAACTATTTCTCACTAGGGTATTAATGACTAACTGTGTTCGTCCTCTACTCCTGCTAGAATAGTAGCTTTTTATCACAGAACTCTAAGTGGAGAACTGTATATGACTCAATACAATTCAAAGCCATGTATCTGAACCCATAGGCATAGTATGGTGATGGCCAGAGGGAAGTTTGGAGGCAGGTACTGGGTGGAGGCTGGCAAAGTTGAGGAAAGAATGGGGACATATGTAATAGTGTCAACAATAAAAAAACAAATGTGGCCCAGCCAGCATGGCTCAGTGGTTGAGCATCAACCTATGATCCAGGAGATCACGGTTTGATTCCTGGTCAGGGCACATGCCTAGATTGTGGGCTCAATCCCAGTGCGGGGTGTGCAGGAGGCAGCCGATCAATGATTCTCTCTCATCGTTTCTATCTCTCTCTTTCCCTTCATTTCTGAAATCAATAAAAGAAAAGAAATGTGAACTCTGATTAAAACCTAGAATGGGAGTTCCAAAAATAAAGCCATGTATTTGATGATGAATATTTAGTTCAGCAAAGAAATACTTCAAGGTAAAGGTTGAACTTTGGGAGTCATTGACATTGTATTGTTCCAGTAGCTGGTGCCTAATCAGTATTCAGTGGGCCTTGGTGACACAACTTTGATTAGAAGCTTCTACAAAACGGGACACAGACTGTCTCCACAATTCTCTTGATAAAGCATCATACTCAAGGGAGTCCTAATGGAATCCCTTTTATTCATGATTTGTCTTCTGCAGCATCACTCAGGAGGACTTCTCCCCATCTTAGTCATTTATCCAGCTGTACCTGGTGGCACTCCCTCAGTGCCTGTTACTTTCTGGGGTCAGGCGGGAAAGTGTTCTCAGAGGTAATCTTATTTATAAAGAAGGGAACTACATCCCACAGAAGTAAAATAACTTGCCTGGAATAGCAAAGCAACTTAATGCCATGTCAGGACTGGCTCCCAGTCCTCCTCAATACATGGGTGTGGGTACCAGTTACCTCTGTCAGGGCCTATGGTACCATTTACTGCACAGCACAGGGTCTGCTTGGGAGTGCTTGGTTTGATTCTTGACTTTATTGCTTACTATTTGTGTGGCCTTGAAATGTTACTCAATCTCCAAACCTCGGTTTTCTCATCTATAAAAATGAGGGGTAGGTAAGAAATACAAGCATGTGCTACAGAGCGATGTTTTGGTAAACAACAGATCACAGATGGGATGGTGGTCTCATATGATTATAATCTAATCTAATAATAGACAAACATGGTAATTGACCGTACCTTCTCTACGCCTCCCATTGGCTAATCAGCGTGATATGCAAATTAACTGCCGACAAAGATGGCGGCTAATTTGCATACTGCAGGCACAGTGGGACAGCGCCATCCCGCCTGCCCCGCCACCATCCGGGCCTGCTATCTGTGACCCGGAGCAGCGGGCGTCCTGTGTGTGACCCGACCTGTGGCTGGCGGGCGGGACTGCAGCGATCTGGCACCCGCCCCGCCCTCATCCGGCTCTCCTGCGGGGGACCCGGGGCTGGCGTGCTGGAAGGCGGCTCCGGTAGGAGCAGCGCAGGCTGGAAGGCGGCTCCGGCCAGAGCGAAGGCCTGGGTCCCGGGTGCTGGAGGAAAACCGGTGCCGGCAGCCAGGGGGAGGGAAGGTGTATTGCACAAATCTTTTCATGCAACAGGCCTCTAGTAAATTATAAACAAAAAATTTGCAATGTGGAAAGTAAAGACTGGACTCAGCTACAATTTTGCCAGCTCTGGGAGGTTTAAATAGACAAGGAGGCTCAGCATATGATCCACCTGCCATGCACCTGCCCACTGCCCGGGCTGGAGTTGGCGAGGGAGTGAGAGGAGCCTAGGAGCCTGCTCTCTTTCCTTCCAGTCCAGTTCCTTTCTCTCTCCCTCCCTCCCTCTTTCTCTCTCTCCTCCTCTTCTCCCTTTTATTATCTCTCATCTCAAGCTTTCTCTCTCTGGGTCTCTTTTGATCTCTGCTCTCCCTTTCTCTCCTTTTCCCTTCCTTCCCTCTCTCCCTTCCTCCCACCTGCTGAGATATATTCTCCCTCCCTCCAATGGTGCTTCCCTTCACGGCCTACCCCCTTATCCTCCCCCTTTACACACTTTATCTTTTATGACGTATTTTTATTGTACCTTTTCTATGTTTATATACACAAATACTTATAATTGTGTTGCAATCTCATACAGTATTCAGTGCACTAGGATGCTATAAAGCAGCAGTTCTCAACCTGTGGGTTGCAACCCCTTTGGGGATCGAATGACCCTTTCACAGGGGTTGCCAAAGACCATCGAAAAACACATATATAATTACATATTGTTTTTGTGATTAATCACTATGCTTTAATTATGTTCAATTTGTAACAATGAAATTGGGGGTCACCACAACATGAGGAACTGTATTAAAGGGTCGTGGCATTAGGAAGGTTGAGAACCACTGTTATAAAGGAATGCAATAAGCTAAACCATGTAGCCTACATGTGTAGTAGACTATGCCATCTAGGTTTGTGTCAGTACACTCTATGATGTTTGCATAATGATGACATCATCGAACAACACATTTCTCAGAATGTGTCCCCGTTGCTAAGCAACAAATCACTGTAGTATCAATCTCATAGAGTTGTTGTGAGGACTCTTAGTGTTGTGAGAATCCAGTGAGATTACTCCTACAGAGAGCTTTGCACAATGCCTAACACACAGCACTTAATAAATGACTGCTATTATTATTATTATTATTATTATTATTATCACTACTGATACAACCATTGCTAATTCTATCACTGTCTCTACAATCCTGGTGGCTTGAGAAAGTGCTAGCACTGCTTCCTAGAGTATGCACTGCACTGCCCAGGGAGTGGCCACAGCCATGGGAGAATCTGGCAGAACCGGTTTTTCAAAGCCGGTGGAAAATAAATCAAAGGTGCTAACCCAAACCTGGGGAAAAGAATGTATCCCTTTATTAGTTGTGAAAGAACCTTCAAAATGTAACTTATACTGAAATAATTCAGTGTGGCCACTCTTGAGGAAGCATGGCTGAACCTCTTTAGTCTGTGCTCTTTGTGACCTCTTGAGGACAGACAGTGGCAACTTGGAGTTTCTGCTAAATGTGGTGATGGCTGACAGTGTTCTGTGCTGACATTGCCTACATCCATGAGTAGACAAGATTAGGAGTCCGGAAACAGAGACAGCAGAGAGGGGAGGGGGGAGCTTCACACCCAGTACAAGTTATACCCTACCTCTTGCTGCACATTGCTCATCACTGACTGTGAAGTCACGTGGGACTTCATTGAGAGTCTTCATGGAAAATAACAGAAGCCCAACTCATATAAGCTTAAGCAAAAGGGGGGATTTATTATAAAGATTACAAAGTATATCAAGGACGACAGGGAGAGTTGCAGAGCTGACCTGGGATTGAATCAGGCCCTCAAATGCTATCAAGTCTTGTGTCTCTCCGCTATGCTTCATTGTTCTCTCTTTCCATGGACTTACTTTCTCTAGGGCCCAGGTGGACTTAATGGAACAGCAGCTCCCACGTTTTGTAAATCACTGTGCAGCCCCCCGAAGAGAGCCCTGGGATTACCAGGGAAGGAGCTGATTGGCTCCGCTGGGGTCGGGTTCCTTTCTCTGATTACCAGTTAGCAATGGTAAAAGGCAAAACATGGTGCATCTACCATCACTATATACCACCTGTGAATGGGCAAAGCCACAGATAAAGAGTTACTGGAACAGGTACTGATGACAAGAAACATCATGCTCGCCTTTGGCTCTGTGCTGCATCCTGGCCATTCCCAGGTTCCTCATTTTAGCAGAGATCCAGGATGTCTCTGCTCACTTCCCCTGCCCGCTCTCCTAGGCAAACCCTAACCCTTTAACATGCCAATTCCAGCATTATAATATAGTGGAAAGGACACAGGCTTTAAAACTATACAGACCTTAAGTTAAAGCCCAGGTTTAGCTGTGTGACACTGGGCAAGTTACTTAGCCTCTCTGAGCCTTGGTTTACTTATCTATAAAGTAATACACATCTAATCGGTTGTTGCAAACACTAAGGAAACAAATCCCCAGGGAAATCTGTGCTGAGCGTGTCTCATTTGATAAATGATAAAATCATGGTTTCCGTGCACCCACACATGTTGCTGCATGGGCCCAACTGCAAAGCCACAGAATTATAGGAGGAAGAGTAGATGAATGCCAGATAGCATATCTCCTTGGGCACAACAATAATTCAAATACTTACTTAGAGGATAATAGCAATGAAAGGGTTGAATCTGTGGGGAAGAAAAACACAACTAGAAATTGTATCCCAGCTTTATAGTTTTCAGTGTTTCCCATCTTGGTCAAAGTTGTGTTCACACCAGTCACCTGTAGGTGTGTGGGGTTGAGTGTACATGCACGTGGAATATTTTGACCTACAACAAAAAGCAACGACACTTTGGTGATGAACTGTAGATATTATCAATAACTCCTAATGATCTATGCAGGATTCTTCATCCATTCTCCTATGTTGCTATCAGGGAAGCGCAGTGATCTCTGACCACTAATTGATCTGCTCCTCCAGAAATACTTTATTTTGTTCTGTTTGTGCTACTGCAAGTTTCATCATATTCCAGACTCGGCTTCATTGGTGCTTCTTTTTTAATCCATCCTGTGTGTAAATGGAAGAAACATTTAAATATTATGTCGCTTTTGATAAGAAGCACATCTGGATTCATATCTCATTTTATTTTACTTCCCCTCTTGTCTTTCAGCTCCAGGGTTCCTTGAAAAGAAAACAGATAGTCAACCTGTCTCCTGCCAACAGCAAGAGGCCCAACGGCTTTGTCGACAACTCGTTCCTTGATATCAAAAGAATCCGCGTCGGGGAGAACCTCTCTGCAGGACAAGGGGGCCTCCAAGTAAATAATGGACAAAGTCAGATTATGTCAGGGACCTTGCCCATGAGCCAAGCACCCCTGAGGAAGACTAACAATCTGCCTCCCCACACACATTCTCCTGGCAATGGCATGTTTAACATGGGCTTGAAAGAAGTGAAGAAGGAGCCAGGAGAGACTCTGTCTTGCAGTAAGCACATGGATGGCCAGATGACCCAGGAGAATATTTTTTCTAATAGGTACGGAGATGACTCCGGAGAGCAATTGATGGATCCTGAACTGCAGGAACTGTTCAATGAACTGACCAACATATCTGTTCCTCCTATGAGTGACCTTGAGCTGGAAAACATGATCAACGCCACCATAAAGCAGGATGATCCATTTAACATTGACTTGGGTCAGCAAAGCCAGAGGAGCACTCCCAGGCCCTCCATCCCTATGGAGAAGACAGTGATCAAAAGTGAATACTCACCTGGTCTGACCCAGGGGCCATCGGGCTCTCCTCAGTTGAGGCCCCCATCAGCCGGCCCTGCTTTCTCCATGGCCAACACTGCCCTGTCCACTTCCTCCCCAATCCCTTCGGTCCCTCAGAGCCAGGCTCAGCCTCCGACAGCCTCAGGAGCAAGCCGGGCCTTGCCAAGCTGGCAGGAAGTGTCCCATGCCCAACAGCTCAAACAGATAGCTGCCAACCGTCAGCAGCATGCCCGGATGCAGCAGCACCAGCAGCAGCAGCACCAGCCTACCAACTGGTCAGCCTTGCCCTCTTCCGCTGGGCCATCTCCAGGTCCATTTGGGCAGGAGAAAATCCCTAGCCCTTCTTTTGGTCAGCAGCCATTCAGCCCACAGAGCTCCCCCATGCCTGGGGTAGCCGGCAGCAGCAGCCAGTCAAAAGTCATGGCTAACTACATGTACAAGGCCAGCCCCTCGGCCCAGGGAGGGCACCTGGATGTGCTTATGCAGCAAAAGCCTCAGGATCTCAGTCGAAGTTTTATGAACAGCTCGCACGTGGCCATGGAGCCCCGTCTTGGCAACACCAAGCCTTTGTTCCATTTTAACTCAGATCAAGCAAACCAACAGATGCCTTCTGTTTTGCCTTCTCAGAACAAACCTACTCTCCTACACTACACCCAACAGCAGCAGCAGCAGCAGCAGCAGCAGCAGCAACAGCAGAGCTCGATGTCAGCTCAGCAGCAACAGCAGCAGCAGCAGCAGCAACGACAACAGCAACAGCAGCAACAGCAGCAGCAGCAGCAGCAGCAGCAGCAGCAGCAACAGGCACAGCAGCCACCCTCTCAGCCCACCCAACCTCTGTCAAACCAGCCCTTGCTAAGGTCACCCTTGCCACTTCAGCAAAAGATCCTGCTCCAGAAAATGCAGAATCCGCCCGTCGCAGGACTGGGATACCAAGTCTCCCAGCAACACAGACAGGTAAGGGCTCTACTACTCCAAACCCAGAGTACCCAGAGACCAACATTCTTGGTCTTTGTGCTTTGATTACCATTATGTTTGTGTTGGGACAGGATCAAGACCACAGAGAGAGTAGTGGTTCTGACGGATCCATAGGAAGACCTCATGGAGGCATGAGCTAGTATTTCTTTGTAGGGCATTAATGTCATCGGGATCTGTAGGGATCAAAGGCTCTTGAATATTAAGAATGTTTCATTATAATTCATGCATTTGGTGACAGGTCCAGTTGTCAGTCAGATTCTGATATGCACAATGTTTATTCATCCAGTCCATAAATGGGTCATTAAGTCAACAAGTACGACCTGAGCACCTACCATGTGCAAGATGTTGTGATCATGCTGAGTATGGACATAAGGCCACACGTGATATTGAAAGTATTTAACAACTAGTTTACATCCATACCAACCAATTAAAATGTCTAAATGCCCCACCCATCGTAATAGATCCTGCTGTGACTCCATGTTGGTGCTGAGTATCAACCTTAAATTAGACACCATCCTTGTCTGCAAGCACAGCCTCGAGAGGGAGACAGGCTTTAAAGACTATCATTTTATGAGTGGTGGCAAGGGGAATGATGTGGGAGCACAGAGGTTGGGTAACTTACCCAGCAAAGGGAAACCAGGGAAGGCTTCTGAAGAAAGTAATGTTGGAGTTAAAGTTAAGTGTTCAAGGATGAAGTCCTCATGACTATGAACAACAACAAAAATCTGTGGTTACCTTATATCCTGTGGTTAGCATAAAACAGGGATTTTATTCTGCCCCAAACATGTATATTTGAATATTATGAAGAAATAGCTATGTGTTTCCAGAGCACATACTGGTGAGGAAGCTCTAGTTCTTAGGGAACTTGAAAGAGGAAACTCTTCCTGGAAAAAAGGAAGGAAGGCAGGAAGGCAGGAAGGCAGGAAGGCAGGAAGGCAGGAAGGCAGGAAGGAAGGAAGGAAGGAAGGAAGGAAGGAAGGAAGGAAGGGAAAGAGGGAGGGAGGGAGGGAGGACTAAAGAAAGGAAGGTGTGAGGGAGGGAGCTTGAATGTTGCTTTGTGCATGTAATTTGACAGGTTTACAGTAGTGTCCAAGCACAAAGACAGCACATTACATGTCAAAACAGTATGTTTGGGACAGCGCTATGGCACAGAGCCTAATTTTCAGTCCCATTCCTAGAGTAGTTTTATGGTCACAGCCTAGAAAAGAATGCCACAAGGACCACAGACTGTGGCCAAGCTAACCTTTGCCCTAGATGTAAGAAAACTAGACTCCACTAGGATTCAAGAGCTGTGTATCAAGTAAAGCTTTCAGTTCTTATTTATCTAAAAAGTGTTTTATATTTTAATCGTAGATTATGAAGAATGGACTTATTAAGAGTCATGTGTATATTTTAGAAGGTTCTGTTTTTAACATGGGTAGTTTGGGGATCATTTAAAAACAAGTGGTACTGTGGAACTACTTTCTCAGTTACATGTAGCCGTATTGATTTGGATGAATTTAGGTTCGAATTCTTACCAACACTCACTAGGTACGTGAACTCAAGCAAGTCCTCTAAGCCTCAGTTTCCTAACCTTTAAAACTGATTATAATGTACCCTAGGATTTTTTTGATAATGAAATGATATAATTCTTAGTTTAGAGTCTAGAATAAAGTTGGCTATTATTGTGGTTATCATGGAAAGAACCATATATGATATCAAAATAATTTTAACAAGTATTAATATTATGTAGGAAAGGCATTAGAGTAAGTCTCAAATTCTAACAAAACAATATCTTTTCTCTAGCAATATAGTGAGTGAGGAGTGATTTACCCTCCCCGAGCCCAGACTTCAGACCCTAAAAGTGGAAATAATAAGTAATGACATATTAATGAGAATTAGCATTTCTTGAGTGTGTACTCTATAACTGGCATGACTCTGTCTCCCTTACTTGTGGTATCTCATTTTACCCATATGAGGGAAATACCATTATTCTCATATTACAGGTGAGGCACAGAGAGGTTAAATAACTCTCCCAAAGACACACAAATAATAAGTAGCTGAGCCAGGTTTCTGATGGTCTACTTTGAAGGGTTGTGCATTCAACCACTAGGTTGTATAGCTCACAGGTGGGATTTGTTGGGAAACGAATGACCACCTAGAAATCATTGTGGGATTCTCAAAAGGAATATGTCTTCTCATATTGGACCATATTTACACAATATACATAGTCGATTAAGTCCTTTTGGGATAGAGAAAGTCCTAAATCTCTAACCTTCGGAGTTGTTAAAAGAATAAAAAAAAATCTGTGTAACTTCCTAGTTGTAGACCTTCCTAAGGATGAACATTATGGAGCTATTCAAGATAAATAATTTGCAGCAGGTGCCTCATCAGTCTTCTTTCTTTGGGAGCCTTCCTGCCACCTCCAACATCTGTCCTGTTTCTGGCTCTATTGCTCATATCAACAACTGTACACCATACTTCTGGCCCCTTAGTCCCCACCTGAGCTTCTAGGATCCAAGCACATTAATGGGTATTAATGGCAAACTGAACAAACATCTTCCAATGTCTTAGATGATTTTTTACTTTTCCCAATGCATATGATACATCTAACGCCAAGATAATTTTCACCTTTTTGAGAAGGCTTTCAAAAAGTGTTAGAAACGGTGGTGGCATTCTAAGCTAAAGGCCTCTTCTAAATAGACAGGCAAGTGGCTACCTTAAAGCTTTATTTCAGTTTTGTAGATTGAACCATAATGTCCCTTCCAGCTTAGTGATTCTATGAGCTATGACCCTGAAGTCTTGAGTCTGAGTTGTAAGCGAATGTAGCAGAGCTCTAGAGTCAAATAAGTGTTGCCCTCTTGAAAGCATTCACCTTTGTGGAGTTGGGCCCATTCTAATAATGGTGCTATTGTTCGATATAGTTATGAAGTTTTTCTCTGGGGATTTTCTTCAGAGCTTTTAGTACATTGAGTGGATTATTACCAATGCAACAATATTCATCCTGGCAGGGAGGTTTTTGAAAATAGTCAAGCTGGGTAAGGCTGCTTTGGGTCAAAAACAAGGAATAACTGATCTAATAGGGCTGCTTGGTTTGTGAACTTTCTCTGAAGGCAATAAAGAAAATAAACAAGTTCCTTCCCAAGATAATAATTTTGAGAAGCAACTTTCATTTGGATGTAAATATTTCAAAGGTTTTTTTTTTCTAATTTTTGTTGTTGTTAATCCTCACCCAAAGATATTTTTTTCCATTAATTTCTAGAGAGAAGTGGAAGGGCAGAGGGAGGGAGGGAGGGAGGGAGGAGGGAGAAAAAAAAAATTGATCTGAGAGAGACACATTGATCGGCTGCCTTCTGCATGCACCCTAACCAGGGCTGGGGATCAAGCCTGTAGCCCAGGTACGTGTCCTTGACCAGGAATCATTGAACCTGTGACCCTCCAATCCACAGGCCGACCCTCTAACCACTGAGCAACACTGGCAGGTCAAGTTTTTCTAATTTTTGTTGTCTCATCCAGTATATTGCCAAGTCTTCTCAACTCAAAGAGAATAGTTTTAACTCTCCCATCCTCAGTAAACAGTACACATGTGTATTCTCATTTCAGATTCGCTAAATCTCTGTTACTCATGATCAAAGACATGGGAGGGGGGGTTGATAATTAAGCAACTCTTAAGTTTATCAACCAAAGCATCCTAAATGAAAACAATAGTCATGACTTTTTTTCTGCTTGTCATACTCACTTTATGTCAAACACAGGAAGATTTACTATGGGATTTGCTAATTGGAGCCCTTTTAGCCTTGGAAATGCTAGAAATCTTGGCTTTCTGTTACAGAATGGTACACTGAATTTGTTCATTGGTTGCTTGTAATTTACCCAGTAGAGTGTGCACAGATGGCCTTCTGCTCAACTTTTAGAACTCTGAATCCAGAGAGATCTGCTTGCTCAAGCAGAGGCTGAATTTGGGGGATCCCTGGGCCCCTCTCCCTTAGTTGGGTACCCACCTCTGTTCTCCTAATGGAAGTGCCTAATGATAGATGCAGCAGAATCGAATTGCTGTACACATCGTATTGTTCCATGCCTGGGGTGGTTTTGAGTAGCCCCTTCTCCAGAGACTGGGAGAACAAATGGTATTTGGCATTTCACAAAATGTCTTCAGCCACTCTGTCTTGCTAATGTTTGGGGCTTTTCAAATTGGAAAAGCTCCCGGCTATAATTTTCTTCCCTTTCTGATTTGAAGGTTATGGGAGAGGGCAAGAGAGGGATGTAATGCATGCAGGTCTGATTTATCTTCATGACTTGTTTAAGGTGTGAAAGAGTTACTGGTTGACCAAGACTCATATAAGAGTTCAGTCCAGAAGCACTAACCTCTTGAATCAAAAAGTGATCTTTTTTTCAGAGCTTTTTAATTAGACACTTAAAAGTGTGAATTTTTTTCTAACATTAGATCCGTGAAACTCAAGTGGATTCTATATTTGGTTTAGAATTCTCCCATCTCTAAAAATTCTGAGAGGGCAGGCAGCCAGTGAATGGATGGTTTGTTATGACCGAAACATAAATTTGTACATTTCCTCCTTAGTTTAAAGCCAAGCTCCTCAATCATACATCAAGAACCTCACCACACTCCCTCTGCCTAGCCAAGTTTATCCTTCACTACTCTACATATCAACCCTGACTTAAATCAGGCAAGTCTCCTAATGTTCTCCTCCCCTCTTTTGAAAGGTAATTTTGTTTATGTCTGATCTTCAAGATTAACACTCAGAAAACTGTTTCCCAGCTGGCCTGGGTGAGGGTGGCAGAATCACTGCAGTTCTCATATACAGACAATACTAGTACGTCTACGTCCTTATAATTGCCAGTGGACGTGCCAGAGAAGAGACAGAACCTTGAATCAGCAGGACATACCTTCTCTAATGGGAAAATCATCACGAATCAGTGTTCTACAACAATATATCATGCAAACTGCCCCTTTCTGGGGGCTACAATGTCAGTCAATAGGCTAG